GCGCGGGGCGCATCCTTGCCAAGGAAGCCCAGGCAGAGCGTGACCGTGTAGAAGTCGCACTCCCTCGCCATGCACACCAGCTGCTCCTCCGCGGCCGATGCTGGCGATGGTGCCCTTGGCCGAGCCCCCTGACTCCTCGGAGCGCTTGTTGGCTCGGCCCAGCTCCCTGAACAAGTTCTGCAACCCTGTGCCGAGCTCCGACTCAGGTTGTGGGGCCCTCTGGGTCCGCTCCTCCTGGGGCATCGAAGAGGTTCCTGCGTGCCATTCGCGCGGCCGCGTGACCCGCTCCACGAACGACTGGGGCTGCCTCTCGGCCCAAGGGGAGGTCGAGCTGGCCCCGCCCGACCCGTAGAACGCGCTCGGGTCGAAGGCAGCGGGCGCCCGCGGCGTTGGCGGCCGCTCCCCGACGCCGACAAAGCCCAAGCCCGACGGCGCGCCTGGCCTGGGCCCCGGCGGGGGCGGGCCCGGCGGGCCGACCCGGCGCGCGGAAGCGCCTTCGGGGCGCTCCCAGGACATCGGCAGCGCTGGCATGGGCCCTGAGGCCTGCGCCACGTGGCGGTCGTCGGGGCTCCAAGCCGGAGGTGGGGAGAGTGGGCTGTCGGATCTGCCGGCCGCTTGGCCGCCCTCTCCCCCCTCGAACTCCTTGCTCCACGTCGCCAGACATCCGCGCGCGAGGCTGAGGCCGACCTCGCCGATGACGCCGTCGTGCGTCGCATCCGCCGCCTCGATGAGCTCCGTCAGCAGCTCGTGTCTGCCCGCGACGCTCTGGTGCGAGATGGCGCGCCGCGCGCCGGCGTCCGTCTGGCCCTCTGCGCGCTTGCCGAGGTAGTTCGCGATGAGCGCCACACGCGGGTCGCGCGCCCTCTGCTCCTCGTCCTGCGCTTGGGCCCTCTGAGTTTCGCCTCGAGGTCACCCCGCGTGCCCCTCCTCGTCAAGGTGGCGCTGCGACTCCTGGACTTGGCGCGCTCGGCCACGCAGTGCCTGTTGCGCCCCTTGCCAAAGCGATACCGCCCTCGGCAAGGAGCCCCCGGTAGTTGGCTCAGGCTCAGGCTGTCCCGCCGGCAGTTGGCGCCGCCCCCGTGGTCGGACAGCCTGAGCGCCACCCCCGACTTCCAGCATGTGGCGGGGGGCTGGGCGCTCGCGAACTCGTCGAGGAGCTCCGCCCTGTGCGCTGGAAAGAAACCGTCCGGGATGGAGAAAGTCAGCCCCGATCCCGCGGCCTCCACGCTCGTCCTCGGGTCGTCGTCCGCGCTGTCCTTAGCGGGGCCGATGAAGCGCGCGGGGAAGCTGTAGCATGCGCCCCACTCGGCCCCGGCGTTCGCCAGGAAGTCTCGCGCATGGACCAACCAGGCTGCCCCTGCCTCTGCCTTGGCCGGGCTGCCCCTCCTGGCCGCAGTGCCGGAGGGCTGCCCGTCGGGCCTCCTGGCCTCCCACCTGTCTGAGCGACGGGTGCTGGCCTGACGATCCTCCTCCGGCTGCGGCGTGCCCGAGCGACTGCGCCGGCCCGCTGTTCGATCTGCAGCGTGGACCGCGCAGAGGGAGAAGCCGTCCTTCTCGACAGTCTTCTCTGTGGCAGTGAGAGCGGGCGCATCTCCTCGGGGCGGCCTGGCTCTCGTAGATGCCTGCGCGATGCGGACTGGCCCTGAACGCGCGAGTGCCGCCCTCTTCCGGGGCGTCGCGCACGTCCGAGATCGCCGCGTCCTCGACCAGCAGGTAGACGGGGTCCTGCCTCGCGGTATCCCGACGGCACTTGGCGCTCAGGACCTGCGCGCCCCCCGTGGTCATGCACGCGATCTGGTCGGCCTGGCAGACGTCGATGCTGGGCTCCGATTCAGTCTCCGAATTGGGGTCCATCTCCTCAATATTGCCTGGCTCCAGCTCGGGTTTCGGGCGCCTCCAGCGTCTCTTCGCGCAGCCGCCGAAAGCCTCGCGGCACGCTCGCCCCGCCCCTCGGCTCCCCCAGGCGCGGCGCATTCGTTCTCCTGCCCTCGCCCGTTCTGCCGGGGTGACCTTGGCCAGGTCGGACGCGTTGACTCGCGAGCTGTGGCTTGCCACGCGCGACGAGCAGACGTGCACCGTCGGCCGGTCGCGCGGGGAGGCCGCGCACAGGTGGACCTGGCCGATGCCATCGTCGTCCCTAGTAGTCTCCAGGTCGGTCTCGAGGTGGCCGTGGGAACTGCCCTTCACGCCCTTGAACTTGTAGACGTGCCCGTGACGAGCGATACGGCCGCCCCTGAGGGGCCCCTGCTCGGGTCGCGCAACAGAGCCGCCAGACTTGACGATGAGGTCGTGGGGCATCATCTTCTCGGCTCCCCCTCCACGCGCTCGGACCTCACTCTTGATGTAATCTTCATCCACCGCCTTCGCCTCGCTCGGCCCATGCCGCGCCGGCCCGGCCGCGGGGTCGCCGTCCAGGGCCGCCATGACGTCGCGCCCCGTCTTGCTGCCGCCAGCGAACCCCTTCAGCGCCCCGATGAGGACCGAGGTGCACGCCCAAGCTGTGCGCGCGATTCAAGCCATGCAATCCAGCGCAGACCCGAGCACCGCAGCCACCACCATGGCCGCGAGTCCCATGGCTGCCCACTGTAGTCTAGCCCAGAACGCGCCGAAGAGGTACTTGCCCATCGCGTCGACCAAGCCTATGGGGAAGGTGATCAGCCGATGAAGCAGGGCGCCCAGGGCATGGCCGAGCTTCTCGCCAAGCCATTTCAGTGCCATCTCCACCCGCGCGTTGACCCGAACCAGCCCGATGGGCGAAGCTGACGCGGCAGTGTCGGGGGGGGGGGGGGGGCGACTCAGCCTGGGTGTGCTTTTCCTCCCTGGTCGCGTTGCTCACTCTCGGGGGCTCCTCGGGCGGCGGCGGTGGGGGGGGGCTCCCTCTGGGGCCTCTCTTCCCACCCCCACGCCTCCGGCCAGGGGTGCTCCACTCGTCTCCTCGGCGCTGGCATCGGAGACGGGCGGCGGAGGCGCGGGCGCCGCCTCTGGGCTGGCCTTCCCGCGCGGCTTCGGTTCCACCTGCGCGGCAGCGGCGTCGTAGTAGTAGCCGTAGTAGTAGTACTCGCTGGAGCGCTGACCACTATGGGCAAAGCGCCCGCCCAGACTGGCCATGGCGGGCGGCGGGTCCGTAGCCGGGGGCTCGGCAGGTGCGGGGGGGCGCCGCAGGCAGAGGTGGCCCCTCGGGCGCCTCGACCGCTGGCAGCTCACCTCCGCCCGCGTCTGAGCAACTTGCCTCGCCCTGGTTGTCGGGCTGGTCTGGCTGCTCCTCCTCTTCTTCGTCGCCTGGCCCCGCCCGCTCATGGCCTCCCTCTTCGGGCCCTGTCATGGTGGCGGACGCGTGGGCCGTGGCGTACCAATTGGCTCCGAAAGAGACGTCGAGCCAAGCCGCCATCGCACCCATGGCCAAAGTGCACTCTACCCCATGGGCGGGCCTCATCCTCCTCGTTCGCTGCGTTTCCTGGAGCCTCCCGCGCTGCACGGCTGCTCGCCGCCGCGGCGCCCCTTCACCACGAAGGCGCCGCGTGGCAGCGCAGGGCTGGGCCCGCGGGGGCCCCGCCTGTCCTCCTGCGCCTCTCGCGCCGCCTGGCGCCGCGGCGCCCCTCGCCGCGAAAGCGCCGCGCGGCGGCGCCGAGCTGAGCCCGCTCGGGCCCTGGCCACCAGCCCCGCGCCTCGTGAGAGGCGGCGCGGAGGGTCTCGGGAATGAACCCGAGCCAGACGGCCCGGAGGTGAGGGGGTTCGTGCTATGGCACCGCCTGCCCACCTCCACAAAAGCAAGGGGAGGGAGGCTAGGCGTAGCGAAGAAACCCGCAGTTCTCTCGAACGTTTCCTCCTCCTCCTCCTCCTCCTCCTCCTCCTCCTCCTCCTCCTCCTCGTCCTCCTCCTCCTCCTCCTCCTGGTCCTGGTCCTGGTCCTCGTCCTCGTCCTCGTCCTCCTCCTCCTCCTCGTCCTCCTCCTCCTCCTCCTCCTCCTCCTCCTCCTCCTCCTTCAAGGCCCGGATTGTGCCTGCCTGTTGTTTGCTGCTGCTGTCGTCGTCCCCGAAAAGGCCCGAGCAACGGCGGCAGCGCCCACTAGGAGAGCACCGTCCTCACTCCAGCGCATCGCCCGAAGCTCCCTGCGGCCCGTGTGCTTGAGACGAGGCGAGGACGAGGATAACTTTGGTGAGTCGAGGACGAGGACGAAGTCGAGGATAAATCGAGAATCTCTGAGATCTGGCGGCTCTGGAGGGTGTCTCGGGCGCCGCGGCCTTCTCAGCGCGTTTCGGAAGGCTCCGCGAGTGTTCCGGAACGCCTAGCATCGTCCCAGCCCCTTCCGAGTGCTGCGCAGGCGGAGCTCGGGCGCGCACCACCGCCAACCTGGACTGGGGCACACTCCAGGGCCGGATCCTGCGTGCACTCTCCGGGACGAGCTGACTCGGATCCGGGGCCACAGACCCCCTCGCGTGGCGAAAGAGTCGTCGCAGGCGGCCTTCTACTACTTCTGGTCTCTGGAAGCCCTTGTCGGGCCCAGGGACCCGCCCGCGACCCACTCTGCGTTCCACCCCGCGACCCATCCGCGACCCACCCACAGCCCACTCCGCGTTCCATCCGCGACACACTCCGCGTTCAACCTCGCGACCCACCCGCGACGCATCCGCGACTCACCTCGCGACCCGCCCGCAACCCACCCCCTTGCCATCGCTCGGACGTCCACTCCCCGTACATTTTTCGGTTTCGCGCGTGCTGTTCTCCGCAAGATGATCCAAGATGCTACTCTGTGGCCCTCGCCGAGAAGAATGCACAGGTCCGAGCGATGACAAGCGGATCTAGCCGTGGCGACGAGTGCCCTCCAGGACGAGCAGCGGCACTGGAACTGACTTATTTTTCCAGAGAAGCAAAAAACAACAGAAACATTAAGCTTTGAAGGTCCGCGCGGATTTCTTGGATCTGCGCTGAGCCCTCCTCCCTGGCGCCGCCAGGGGGGCCAAGCTCAGGCCAAAGAAATCCGCGAAGAGCTCCGACGGTTTCTGTGCATGCAGTCTGTTTTGCTTTGATGGTGCCCCTCCCCCGCGACTCCTCCAGGAGCAGCAGCGCCCGCCGCCACTCCCCGCACCTGCCGAGCGCGCTGATGGTGGCGCTGTACACCACGATGCCCACGCGCGGCGCAGCGCCGCACAGCAGCGCGCCACGCAGCAGCCCGAGAGCCGCCTCCCACCGCCCCGCTCGGCCACACCTCTGCAGATCCGCAACGAGGGGCGCGCCGGCTGGCCTGGCCCCGCGCGGCATCGCCCCCTCGTCATGGATGAGGCAGGGCTCGAGCTGAACGGTGTTTGTCCGTGCTCGTTGTGCGTTCGCTCTCCCTCGCTCTGTCTCTGCTCCACCTTGATGCTGCAAAGCGAGGCCGGAATGAAGACGGTGCACAACATTGCTAAGACACCGCTCCGCTCGAGCCCTGGGATGAGGGGCGATGATTGGTTGGCACGGACCAGTTGCTCTGGTACCTTGAACCATCGATGCCTACCCTGCGCATCCGCCTGCCGATGCCTAGGCATCACCAGGTCGATGCCTAGGCATCGGCTACGCCCAGCTACGTCCAGCTACGTCCATGGGCGCATCCCTCGATGCATGCGTAGGCATACCCATGCAAATGCCTAGGCATGCTACGATGATGCGTAGGCATCTAGGCTGGGGGGTTCAAGGAGATGGCTGGTAGCAGAGCGAGCGGACCGACCCAAACGATAGGGGGAGGACTGGCACACGGGGGAAACGTTGACCTGGACTCGGCGGTGCATCGCTGATAGCTCGGCGACAGGCCCCCGACAGCGAATCCGCGCCTTCCTGGGCGGGTTGGGGCCATCGGGGGGATCAATGGGCGATTGGTGGTCGATGCGTCTCCGCCCATGCTTATCCCCCCCCCATCGTTGCACCTTGATGGAAAATGAAGGCCTGAAGGAAACGTGTCCTGAGGTTCTGCGCCGTTCTTGGCCCCCAGGGGGCCCATCCACGGGGCGCGGGGCTGGCAAACAACGACTCTCGAAGCCTCCCCAGTGGGATCTGAGCAGATTAGGTCGGAGGATCGCGCTGCATCGCCGCTGCATCGGCGATGCATCGGTGATGCGGCGGCGACGCCGGCGATTCATCGGCGACGCCGGCGATTCATCGGCGACGCCGGCGTGCAGGATTTTGGGAAGCCTAGAGACGCAGGATTACGGGACTACGGGATTACAACCACAACCAATCCCTGAAGGCTTGACGACTTCTCGCCCATCGACTTGCTTGTAGGGATCAAACCGGATAACACAAGCTAAGTGCAAATACATGGAGGTAAATCCAAGAATCCGGGTGAATCCAGGTGAACCCAGAGATCTTGAAAGAGATCTGGAGCAATTCGCGGCCGCCCCCTGTCTCAAGCCGAGGGACGGCGGAACTCGCCGAGCCCCTAATGAGCCAGGCGTGGTAACCGCAAGTCAATCGGAGGCATCCGAGAGGGACGGGGGCGCGGGCGGGCCCGGTCGTGCTCGCCGTCGTGGGGGCGGCGGCAGGCAGGGGGCCCCCGCGCGAGGCGGCGCTGCACCGCTCGCAAGGTTTTCCTCCCCTCCGCCCCTGGAGGGGCACCGATGCAGTGCGGGCGCGGTCGCAAGAAACCATCGGAAAAAAACCCAACCCTGAAAACCCGCGCGCGGGGCACCTGGGGGGAAACCCAGGGCACCTGAACGCAGCAGCTACTCAAGGGCCGCGGGACGTCACCGCGCAGCGCGAACATCGAAGAAACCCAAGGTACACTGGCGAAAGGCATTTGGTTCCGTGATGAGCGCCTCCACTGCAGAAGGTGACGGACCCAGGAGTGCGGAACACCGAGCTGGAATCGGCGATGCCTCGCCGATAGATCGGCCGTAGGCCCCCGATAGTGAACCCGCACGCTGCTGGGCGGGGTGGGGTTATCGGGCCCCCATCGGCGATCCATGGGAGACTGGGGGTCGAGGTCGATGCATCCCCCCCCATGCCTATCCCCCGTATCATTGCCCCGAGGCTTATGTTGCCCCCATCGCACCTAAGGACCACATCCCCATGATACTTTCGAGCGCCCGCAGAAGTGTTGAAAGCGTGTCGAAAGCGTGTCGAAACAATAACGAAACAGTGTCGGGCGAGTCTCCCAGGGCTCGACACGTGGAAACCCTCAAGTTTTTGGGTTCTCTCTTGGTGCTCGAAGTTCTTTCTGGTGGTCAACGCTAAAGCCGGTTGGAGCATCACCACCCGAGGCCTCCTGGGGTCCAGGACCCGTCTCCGTCAGATCCCGTTTCCTTCCTGCCAGCCCCCGCGGCCAGGGCGCGCAAGGAGACGCGATCGCCCCTCTTTTTGGGCCAGCAGGCGGCGGCTGCGACGGACGATCTCCTCCCTCCTCCCTGCTCCCGCTCCTCCTCCCCGCTTCCTCATGGACTCAGCCTGAGCGCGAACGGGCTTGTCCGCGCCACTTGCCACTTACACCGCCGCGTTGCCGTAGCCAGAGGCGGGTGGCGCCTGCCGAACAGCGTGACCAATCAGGTGGGCTGCACCACCCCAGCCCCGACGACCGAGGCGGTGCGCAAGGGCTCAGCCAGGTACCGCCAGACGCGGTTAACCTGGAACCTGGCAGGTGGGCGCGCGAGGCCAACGAGCACGCGGGCACCCCAGGTGCCAGGTGCAGGAGGGCCTCGGCAGCCCTGCGACAAGTTAGCAGGAGTCGCCCCCACCCCCCCGCCCAGCCCACGCAGAACGCGCGCCGAGCGCCAAAGCCTCCGCCCCTCGCCCCCTGCAACGGCGAAAAAATGTTTCACGTGCGCTCTCCCATCGGCGAACTGCGCGCGAACGGGGGCCAGGTCGGCACGAGACAGGCAGCGTGGCACAACGGGCAATGGCGGCTCCACAGCCAAGTCAGGCACGGCACATTCCACTCTCTCATTGCCACTAGCGCCACGCTGCTTCTTCGAGACATGTTCGCAATCGAGATCGCACATGCGCGAGCCTCTGCGGGCGACCCAGTGAGCCTAACTAGAGAGGGCCAGGGCCTTGGCCTTGCGGGGCTCGCGAAGCTCTGAGGGAATGCGAGCCCTCGAGGCCACTCGCTGAGCCCAGCCACCCGCGCGGGCATTGTTTTTTTGTCCAAGCACGACGACAGGCCAGACTGGATGCGGGCTTCTGTGCAGTGCCTTTTTCACTTTGCTGATGTCAATGCAATCGACATCCCCTCAGGCTGCAATGCGCTGCCGGACCTGGGCCCGCAGCTGCGACCAGGCGGCGCGCGAGGAACAGCAAAACACCTGGCCTCGTTGGCGGACTCCGCGCGCGCAAACGCGGAGTCCGTGTAAAACACGCTGCTGGGCAAACTGTTCTGCAGCGCAAGATAGAAGGCAAAGAGCTCCGCGAAATCAACACCTCGGCGAACTTGAGAAAAATATTCATCCAGCTTCCGTCGAGAAATATGCGCCCCGACATGCTGGCAGGGCCTCCGCCAGGCCACCTGTCGGGAAGGGGCGCGGCAGGAGGAGGAGGAGGAGCGCCGGGGACAAGGCGCATCTCGGCGAAGAGGAGAGGGAGGGGGATCAACACTCGCCATGACCACTGAGTCGAGACAAGCAAATGGCGCCTCCCCTGTCGCCATGTCATGGTGGCCCCCGCAGCGCGCGTGCCCGTGGAGAAGCGCGCCAGGAGCCTCGCGACGCAGTTGACAGTGGGGCTCGGCGGTGCACTGCGACATCCATTGCCTGTGCTGGGGCCGCTGACCTCCGCGCACGACGCCCCTAGGGTGGGCCTTCCCATCGGTCCGGATGGCTTTGGAAGCCACTGTGGTCTGCACGGGCTGAAGATTGCACCCGAAAGAGAGCTCTGGAAAACCTCTCTCTGGAGGTCACTTTTTCCCGGGGCCGCTGCAACATAACCCTATCGAGCCACTTAGCGACAGCGCGCGGGCCGCGCTGCTGCGCGGGAATCTCGGCCGCGGCGCGACGCGACCGAACGAACTCCTGCATGCTGATGCCTAGGCCTAGGCGCAGCGCCGTGGCTGCACGGGCCGACAAAGGCCTCGGATGCTGGCCCAAGGGTTGCCGTGCCCGCGAAACCGCCCAACGGCGTCTCGCAACCCTTGCGCCAGCGTCGCACGCGGTTGCCGTCGCCCCCAAACTGCCGTGGCGAACTGAACCAGCGGCGCGCACTGCAGCTCGAAGCCGGGATCAGCCTGGCGGCGCTCACTGAGCACGAGCAGCAACGTGACCGATTTACTGTCTAGATTGCGCGCCTGCGCTCTTGCTTGCTGCATGCGCGACTGCCGAAGATCCACTGCGGCAGCGCCAAAACCTTGCGCCCGTGCTGGCGCTCGCGCACAAAAGCTGGCAAAGCGAGCAGCTTCCGCGCCCTGGCACGCGGGCTGCTTCCGCACGGGCGCGAGCATGCTGCCTGCAAACTCTCCCGACAGCGAAATCGATCCCGAGGTTCCTCTCAGCGCGAGCGCCCTTGAGTCTGATGGGGCGGAGCTTGGCCCCGAGGAGCTCTCGGGGGCCGGCGGAGGAGGCCGCCGTGCGAAACTTTTGGCGGCGGTGGGCAGGCGCACTCCGTCCAATTGCGAATGCAACTTGCGGGCGGCACCAGCAGGCCCCAGCGCTGCATGTCCTTCTCGCCTAAGCCGCTGCAGCCCAGAATCGCCCGCCGCGCTGCCCGGAGGCGCGCGTGGAAGCGCAGCCTGCACTTCGCCGCGAGGCGAAAGAAGCACCAGCTGCAGCATTGAAGTGGCGAAGTGGCAGCCTGGCAAAACAGCTTGCAACGTGCGCGCGGGTGAGGGCGCAGCGTCGCTGAGGACTAACGGCTTCACAGCTGTCGCGCTGGGAAGCCCGTGCGGAGCGCGCCTGGTACCTAGGGGGGAGGCGTCGCGCCTCCTGCTCGCAGGCCCTGGCGAGGTCTTGGAGCACAAGAGCGCTCGGAAGAACAAAAAAAACCTGCGCGTCCCCGCTCGGCGGCGCTGGCCTGGATCAAAACCAATTTGCCTGGCGACCGCCCTGCAGTGGGCCACGGGGAACTAAGATTGTGCCCCTGCTGCCGCGCTGCCTCTAGAGGCTTACGCGAATGGCCTTGGGCGCGAGCGAAGATATGGGCGACCGCTTTGAAGCGGAATCCGCCGCCCCGCCTCGAACGAAGAACGGATATGTCCAGATTGCGGGCCGGGCACAGGAAACGGAGACCTTCACCTCGACGAGGGCGTCGAGGGGGACTTCGAGTGCCTCGTCAGATAGCGCGTGCAACAGTCGGGGGCACAGCTGATCGAACCCGCGCCCTGAGCGGCGAGGGAAGGAGCGCGGGCCTCGCAAAAATAAGGGGCCAGGGTCCGACGGCCAACTGATCTGATCAGAAGTGCGTCCGCCACCACCCATCCCACTCCCGCTCCAAAGCCTCCACCCCCTCCTGGAGCGCGCAGGGCTCGCCAGCTGCAACAGAGCTGGCGTGCCCAGGGGTGGCGGGCTTGGAGCTTAGAGCAGGCGCGCAGAGCAG